GATCTGTTGGAAGGGAAGGAAAAACCTGTATGCGGGACAACATGCAAGTATTTTTATTCTTATGATTTTCAAATGATAACATTTAGAATATTTAGGTTGATTCTTTATAATTTGCAGTACCTGTGGTTTTATGGTAATACCAAAAAAGGAGACATAACACTGCAAATTCTCATACAATACCCTTAATTTTATATGCTAGCAAAACAGTGCTTAGGATTACCCAAAAGAAAAAGAGATGCCAGATGTTCAAGCTGCTTTAGAAAAGGCCAAGGAGCTTGAGACATTATTGCTGATGCATGGTGGATAACTGAGAAAACCAAAGAATATCAAAAAGAAGCCATTGTATGCTTTTTTGATTATAGAAAGTCTTCTGTTTGTGTTAATCACGTCAAGCTCTGGAATGTGGCCAGAAGAATAGGAATCCTAAGACACGCTTTTGCCCTCATGAGAAACTTATACATAGGTCAGAAAGTCATTGTATAGACAGAATATGGTGAAACAAATGGCTCCAGGATGGCAACTGTGCATGACAAGGCTTTGCTTTCCCCTTATTTATTCAATATATATGCCAAATAAATTTTAACGGCAGCTGGATTGGAAGAATATGACCATGATTTAAAAACTGGAGAAAGAAACATCAATAATTTGTTTTATGCTAATGACAACATGGTGATAGCTAAAATTGGAAAGGATATATGAGCTCCAGTAATAAAGGTCAAGGAGCACAGTGAAAAAAATGGGACGAAAATTAAATACAAACTCCAAACTAATGACAGGTAGAACAACCAACCTTAGAATTTATAGTGAAGATATTGAAATGGTGGATAGCCTTTTAAGATCAACCATCAAAAGTATAGAAACAAGCAGTCAGGAAATGCAGATTAATACTTGGTAGAACAAAAAAGTCTTGGATAAGATATTAAAATGTTTTGATGTTTCTGTATCTACAAAGAATCATGCAAGCCACGGTATTCACTGGGATTATCTATGGAAGAAACAGAAGTTGGAATTTGAAGAAACATGATAGGAAGTGTACTCACACTTTTGAGCTTTGATGCTGGAGAAGGCTCCTGAGAATACCATGGACAGCCAAGAAATAAAAGGACCATCAAACTAATAACAGTTCTCTCTCAAGACACAAAAGACTAGATAGGCTCAAATTACCCTAGTCTGGCCACATTGTGCAAATACATAATTTCTTTGGAAAACCTTCTGATGCTGAGAAAGATGGAAGGATAGAGAGGAAGAGATGACCAGCAGCAAGGTGGATGGACTCTGTTATAGTAGCAATGAGTTCACTGTTGGAAGACCCAAAAGACCAGGTTAGGGACAGATTGTTATGAAGAAAATCTACCTAGTGGCCAGAGTCAGAAACAATTTGATGGCCCATAATCAATGTATTAAATTGTGTATTTACTAGGTTGTTGTTAGAACATTTTTTATTTGTGTTAATGGACCAATTGGGAAGAAAGTTGGTCATTTTGGAATGTCCATTAAATCACATCATGGGGATTTATATAATTTACCCTAATTTATATCATTTCTGTAATGATATCATAACAATATGAGTAATATAAACCACAGCACAAATTTAGTATGCTACGTGCGAAGTCAATTGCATTGACATCTGGAAAAAAAAGATTCCCCTCTATTGCTGGTAGTGATTAGCAAATATTTCTTTGCAAAAACTGGATTTGCAAAAGGGGTTTTCAAACAAAATTGTGTATTATGCAGAAAAATATTACAAATTTCATGTCTCCAACTGAAGAAGAATGAACTGATAGCCAGGTCAATTTTACAATACAGATAATTCTTCCTTAATGACTGTTCAGTGACTTTGAAATTACGATGGTGCTAAACGACGAGAGTTATGATATGGGCCCTAAGTTATGGCCATTGCAGTGCCCCTGTAGACATGTGATAAAAAGCAATACCCTTAAAACTGGGGGGGGGGGGTGCTGCAGCTATCCCTCTTGTCTGTCTCCTGCCCAATGCACTCAGCAGTGCAAGTCTGGACCTGAGGTAAAGTCCTGAAGCTTTAGCAGATTGACTAAACTGGAACTGCCCCAGGCCTGGCTGCATTCTCCAAATCACATGAGCCTTGGAGAATGACACAATTACTCTTGCCACTTAGTGCTCTAGATCTCTGCCTTCTGCTTGCCTTTGGGCATTTTTTTTCTGTAGAGAAACCTGTGCAGTCTACCCAAGGCACCTCCAGATCACACCAGGCCTTCTTTCCCAAAGCCTATTCATATGCTACTTTGGAAGCTTCCAGAAACCCTTTGCAACTTCAGAAGCCCTGAGCTAATAGGTTTCATTCTTTAGAGGTTTCCTGAAGCCCAACATGACTTTGGGAGCCCCATGCAAACATATTCCATTCTCATGGGACTTCTGGGCCTGATGCGATGAGGAATAGGCCTGGGTCTCCCTGGCTGCAGCAGATTTGCTTCCCACTGCAGCATCCCTCCAGCTTGTATGCAACCTGTACCAGGCCTCTCAGGGGCTCTTCTACTGCCCTGAGGCATTCTCACATTTTGTTTTAACCTGGATTATATCTGCTTAATGATCTGCACAAATCACTTTAATGACTGCAACTAGGACAATCAAGATTTTCATTGTCTCGCTTAATGATCATTTTGCTCAATAACTGAGATTGTGGTCCTAATTCATGGCCTACTAGTATACTTTCAGAAAGGTGTAAAAACATGGTTCTGCGGCCTTGCTTCAGGCTCACAGAAGAGTACACAGCCATGCGCTGGTTGGTGCCCTGAAAGCCCTACCCCTGCCTTTTCATTAATTTTAATATTAATTTTAATTCATCCTTGTCCTTTTAAATTATAAATTTCATATACTGTTTTTATGTTTTAACATTTTTTACTTGTATACCTCCCAGAGTCCCTCTGTGATGCAAATGGACAGTTTTAAAAATTTGATAAATAAAATAAATACTAGATTCTAGTATATCTAATGAAATCAATTTGCACAGAAATTATTTTATGAGGAAACTTGATGCCTATATAAAACTAGTACCCTTGATTAGAAGATGCACAACCTGAATAGTCTCATACTGGATATTACAAGATTTTTTTAAAAAAATATATCTTTTCTATAAAGGAAGACTAATTTAGAATTTGTGGTAAATGCTATATTCATTGAATATTTTATATTTGAACCACTTCCACAATCATTTATCTCAGTAAGCTCCTTTTAGAGGACATACAAACTTCTGTGAAGCACTGTATGCCTTGGGCTTTGATCTTCAAGTGGTTCTTTTGTATTAAATACCATAAAAAGTGACATCTTTGCTGCCTTATTATGTCCTCTAATTGAATTAATATGGTAGTAATTCTTAAGACAGTTCTTGATTTGAAAAGACCCAAATGACATGCTAACTTGATCATCTCTGATCATTGGATTCTGGAATACATAACAGACAACATTATTGTGTAATACTAGAATTCTAAGCAATGTTGGGCAGTTGAATCTGAGTTATAGTTAACTTGGTTCAATTAATTTTTTTAAGGAAGTAAGATTTCTTGTTGCTCATTAATATTAAGATGGTTGCTTATTGTAGACGTAGGAAGAATGTTGTACACTAGTATACTCTAGAATAAGCCTGCCCAGTAAAACGCTTTTTTGTTTTTGTTTTTCCTTGTTAAAAGTATCAGGTTGAAATATTTGTTCCTGTTAATAATTTTACAGAAATATTAAAGGCAAATATTTTATGATGTGTATTTTCCATTTATATAATATTATATGTATATTATATAATCTTGAGAAAAAATCAGTCAAAATGCATTTCTGTTTATATTACAACAAATATACATGCATTTTAATATACTTCTCTAAATAGAAACAATTTTTAAAATTGAAGTACTTTTTAAAATATGGAATAATTGAAACATAATGATAGTTTCTCTCTCATGTAGTTAATGTAAAAATATTTGGCAAGCGACACAATAAAAAAGTGCTGTTTTCATGGTTACAGATAAAGCCCTAAAAGAAATTGTTGAACGCATTCTTCAAACAAGTTATTTTGACAGTGCTCACAACCATCAAAATGGACTTTGTGAAGAAGAAGAGACAGCATCTGCACCCACAGTTGAAGATTCTGTGACAGAAGCTGGTAACTAAAAGAAATAACTGATTCTGATCCTAGTCATGTTAATTGAAGAATACCACTTTGCTCAGTGGGAGTTATTTCTGAGTTAAAATGTATAGAAATACTCATGATTTGTAGAATTTTTGTAACCTTGTGTGTACTTATTTGTTGAGTGTAGTTTACTTACTATACTATGTCATATATGAGGCTATACTCCACTACACACTTAGAAGTTGATTTTTAAATTGTTTTCATATTTATTTTCATACAAGGTAAATTGGTCACATGTAGGTCACACTGGCCAGCCTTTAAAAACTAGGCTAGCAAGGCATCTATTAAATCAAACCACAGAAAATCTGTAGTTTTTTTGAAGTCAGGAATTGTATCTTTTTTAAAAAAAAAATGTGTTAGCTTCTGGATTTACAAGAGTATATGTTTAGTGAAAAAGTCACAAGAAGAAGCCAGAATTTTTAGACTTTGTTTATTCAAAGGCTTAATATATAAAATGGGAGCCGAATTTCTCAGTTATCCATTTTGCCCTTTCCTCCAAACAAGAAGTAGTAGGTTTGAGAGATGTTAATGGGTGGGATGGATCCCTTAACTCAAGGCATTATTTTACTTGTTAAAATTTTCACAACCCACAAAATGAGTTGAAATGTTCCAGTTCCTAGGATACTCAGATGGGGTGGGGAATAGGGGCACAAGAGAAGATTTGTGAGTTACACAGTCATGTTCCAGCTACTTAATGTTTTCAGAAGGGCACAATATTTATTAAACATACAGTTCAAGAGAGCTATTAAATAATGAAATATCTCAGATTTTAAGAGCTGTATTTTGTGGATTGAAATAATCAGTGGTTATAATTTTACTTCACAGCTAAAATATAGATGAATAAGAGTATTTTTACTATTTTTTTATTTTATTTTAATTTATTTGATAGTTGGAGCCATCCACAATTACTGAAAATCAGGCATAGAAGTTTAATAATTAAATATTATTAATATAAACATTCATTTTAATAAAGGCTTTATGTAAAGAGTGTATTTTCCTCACAGAGCCTGAACCAACAGAAGAATACACTGAACCAAGTGAAGTTGAATCAACAGAGGTACTCTTTAGTAGAAATACTGTAGTCATCTTTCTAGAATGAATGTTGTTGGTTTATTGTTGTATTCTTTCACTTTTATTTTAGTATGTAAACAGACAGTTCATGTCAGAGGCTCAGTTCAGCAATAATGAAAAGGAACAAGTAGACGAATGGACAGTTGAAACTGTTGAGGTAAATTGTTACATATCTTTTATAAAATTTCAGTAAGTTATAATTCCTTCATAACTTATAATTACAATTAAAATAGAATTATTAATCTTGAACCAGTTCTCAAAAAAACCCCTTTGACAGGAATGAATATTTTCTCCAAATATAGGAGTCCTCGGGTTATAACAACTTGCTCAGCGACTATTGAAAGTTGCAACATTGCTGAACAAGTGGTACTTATAATGGGTCCTTGAAATTCTGGCTGGGTGCTTGGCAACTAACTCGCACTTGGAATAGTTGTCTTCCACTTACATAATCACAATTTTGTGACATTCTTTTGGGTCTTCCAGCAAGCAAAGTCAATGGGGAAATGGCAAGGAAAGTTGCAAGTTGCTTTGGTAAGTCTCTCAACCGTGCACCCTACCCCCATCCTTCTGCACTTGTGCCATGCTGATCAACTGCACACCCTCAAGAGTTGCGGTACTTGTACAGTGCCTACCCGCTATTCATGCAGTCTCCCTGGCCACATGTGCGCCCCCTTGCTCCCCACTGGCGTTGGTTATTGGAAGCTGGCAGGAAGTTGCAAAGAGGTGCTTGCTTAATGATGGGGACTGAAAGGATTGCCAAGATTAAGTGATATGGTCATGTGACATTGTGTTTTACAACTGTATTGCTTAGCGACCAAAATTCCAGTCTTAATTGCTGTTGTAACTCGAGGACTACCTGTATTTATTAGTATTGTATTATTTTATATATTGTATTAGTTTATCTAGAAATCCTTACAGATATAGTTTGACCTTTTATCAGTATAAAACACAAATGGATCAGAATCAATGAAAATGGAAAATTTCAGCAGCTGTATGGTTGTGCATAGAGTATCGACAGTAATAGCAAGCACTGAATATTAGTGATACTTTCATTGATATAAAGGGCATTTGAGCACTAATATAAAATAAAAATAAGCAATCATACAGTTAGCATTTTCTTATAAATGCATACCAACTCTGTTGTTGGAATTGTGTAAGCTCATTAAGTTAAATACCGTATTTTTCGTTCTATAAGACGCACATACCGGTACTATACTATTTCTCTTTCCCTCTTTCTCTCCCTCTATTTCTCCCACTCAAAGATCCTTAAAATCCTTAAAGGTTATGCTCGGGCGGAAGACTTTTTCTTTTACAGATGGGACGGGTGGGCCTGACATTCGCGCGCAGGCAGGACCCCGCCTGCCGAGCCACCGCTTCCCCATCGCCCTCCACGCCAGCCGTCTCCGTCTCCAGACCTCCCAGCTGATGGGCGCAGGTCCGGGGGGTCGCCAGCTGACGGGCGCAGGAGTTCGGCGCTGCAGCGGCCTCACTTTCGCCCTCTGCACCGGCCAAAGCGTTCCCCAAGGGCCGCTGACGCGCTCCTCGCTGCCGGCGACCATGCAAGCCCTTGCAATTGCTCCAGCCGAAGAAGCAAGCGGCTGGGAGGCCGCGGCAGCGCCTACCTCCTGCGCCCGTCAGCTGGCGACCCCCGGACCTGCGCCCGTCAGCTGGAATGTCAGGCAATGCTTTGGCCGGTGTGGAGGGCGAAGGGGAGGCCGCTGCAGCGCCGAACTCCTGCACCCGTCAGCTGGCGAACCCCGGACCTGCGCCCGTCAGCTGGAATGTCAGGCAACGCTTTGGCCGGTGTGGAGGGCGAAGGGGAGGCCGCTGCAGCGCCGAACTCTTGTGCCCGTCAGCTGGCGACCCCCGGACCTGCGCCCGCCAGCTGGGAGGTCTGGAGACGGAGACGGCTGGCGTGGAGGGCGATGGGGAAGCGGTGGCTCGGCGGGCGGGGTCCTGCCTGCGTGCGAATGTCAGGCCCACCCGCCCATCTGTAAAAGAAAAAGTCTTCCGCCCAAGCATAACACCAGCAGTTCTGTGCCACAGAGGCTTGAGACACGGAGGCGCGGGACGCGGAGCGGTGGGAGGCGGCATTCGCTCCATAAGATGCACAGACATTTCCCCCCATCTTTTGGGGGGGAAAAAGTGCGTCTTATAGAGCGAAAAATACGGTATGTATTTTAGTTAGATTCTAACATTTAAGGATGCTATCTTTTCCCCTTTATAAAGATGTATCTACAGGTTGTCCTCAATTTACAACCATAGTTAGGACTGGAATTTTGGGCACTAAGTGGTGCAGTCATTAAGTGAGCCATCACATGACCGGACCTGATTTTGCCACCATTTTTACCATGGTCATTAAGTGAATCACATGATTGTTAAGTAAATCACATGGTTGTTAAGAGAATCTGGCTTCCCACATGGAATTTACTTGGCTGGCAATATCTCAAATCGCTATCGTGTTGCAAGAGGCTGCAACAATAGTAAATATGAACCGGTTGCCAAGCACCCGAATTGTGATCACATGACTGCAAGTGTGGTACAACGTTTATAACTTTGAGGACGGGTTGTAAGTCACTATTTCTCTATTTCCAAGGCCATTGTAACTTTGAACTGTTGTTAAATGAATGGTCGTAAGTCGAGGACTATCTGTATAAAATCACTTTTGATTACTGTCATATTATTATTAAAATCCTAAGCATGCTATTATTTACAGAGATCTGCTTTCTTCCTCAGTTTCTAAGTAACCTAATAGCATATAGTGCTAGCTTCGTTCAAATCATCCTTCCCATTTTTGTATTTTTTAAAGGAAATAATGACCCAGATCTTAACTATTTAAAACTGAAAAACATTTATCTTTATATTCTTCCTCCTGGAGTACAAATATACTATTATCACAAAGTTGCTAGTAGATAATATTGTCGATTTGCCATTTAATTGTAGACTGACTGAAATTGTATTATTTCTAATGTAGGTGGTAAATTCACTCCAACAGCAACCACAGGCTACATCTCCCCCACTTCCAGATGCACATACACTTACAGCTGTAGCTCAAGCAGATCCACTTATTAGAAGACAACGAGTGCAGGACCTTATGGCGCAAATGCAAGGCCCATATAACTTTATGCAGGTAATTAATAATTTAATTAATACAAGATTATAGTATTTTTAAATATGTGTAGAATCCAATTGAAGTGGGGAACTGTTTTCTTCAATTGATCTGAAATAGAATTTGGCACTGACTGATTTGCATTGATTTTGTCTGTGGTGAAGCTGTCTTAAATCTAGTCTTAATAATGTAAGAATTTATGTCTCTAGTGAAGCCGGCTTAAATTTTGACTTAATTATCTAGGACTCTATGCTGGAATTTGAGAACCAAGCACTTGACCCTGCTATTGTTTCAGCTCAGCCTATGAATCCACAAACTTTGCAGATACCTCAGATGGTTTGCCCTCCAGGTCTGTAATATAATATTGTTTGTATGTGAACTATGTAGCAAAATAGCAATGAAACTCAAGTAATTTAAGTATTTTTACATTTCACTCCATTTTATATTCCATCTTTCCATTTGTAGAATGTTCAACTGTACAAGGAAAAAGTGATGCTTAATAAAAATATTCACAGGTTATTATAATATTTAAAAGTCTGGCTGAAAAGACACATTTTAAGTGTACTTTTTAAAGTGGAAAGAACGGGACTTAACACACATCCTAAGGAAATAAGTCCCTTTGAAATGTTTCTCCAAGTCAGTCTATCTTTGAAATTGGGGGAATCTGCAAAAGAAATTTCTCCTGCAGGTTTTAATATGTGGATAGGTTTATAATGGAAGAGGCTGTCCTTTGTTTACAACTTTAGAGGTTACAGTGACTGCTTATAAGCAATAGAAAATAGTTCTCTCAGTACCGAATTACATATTTCAGTTTGTATGATTAGAATCTTACCTGATCCATTTTGCACCAGCTGATATTTCTGGATATTTTTAAGGATAGTTCCATGGAGAAATTATAGTAATCAACTGCAACATAATGAGGCATTATGCTTAAAGAAACTTCCACTGTATTAATTTCAGTATTGATTGTATTATTCTGTTTGTAGTTCACGCTGAATCTAGACTTACACAAACAACCCAGGTTCCTGTACAACCTGAAGCCACACAGGTAAGAACCCTTGATACCTAATGGCTGAATATTTCTTTCTAAACTTTCCTCTTCCTCTTATTTAGGAATTGTTGAGCTAGGTTCTACAATACTTTCTTCATTAGCATGTAATTAGAAGTGGATGAACTTTTCATACCAAAACTGGGGCAATCTGTTTTCCTTTAAAAATCCGAGCTTGTATCTTTCACATTATTTTGACATATCATCCGGAACTATTAAAGGTGTGCTTTGGAAAGGAAATATATATATAAAAAAGTTACCTCAGGCCCATGTAAAAGCCCTGCTCTGGTTATAGGAGAATCCACAAGCAATTAAAAATATTTATAACACTTCTTTTTCAAAACATTTGAACCCTATCGTACTCAAAATAAGATACAGGTAGTAACTTAGCATACTGCTTAATAATAATAATAATAATAATAATAAAAAAGTTGGAAGGGACTTGGAGGTCATCAAGTCCAACCCCCTGCTCAGGCAGGAACCCTACACCATTTCAGACAAATGGCTGTCCAGTCTCTTCTTAAAAACTTCCAGTGGTGGAGCATTCACCGCTTCTGGAGGCAGGTTGTTCCATTGGTTAATTGTTCTAAATGTCAGGAAGTTTCTCCTTAGTTTGATCAGTTTCCATCCGTTGCTTCTCGTCCTGCCTTCAGGCGCCTTTGAGAATAGCTTGACTCCCTCTTCCTTGTGGCAGCCCCTGAGATATTGGAACACTGCTTAGTTTAGCATTAACTCTATTGGGGAAGTTACATAGAAAAAAAATCTGTAAACGCCTCTATGGCTTTTACATTTATATGATGTCTCCCATATGGAGACATTATAATGAGAAGGCAGCAAAGGTGTCTTAAAACTAGGGTTATACAAAACATTGGGTGTCAGTTTCAGGTGGTCTGTGCTTGGATTGAAATATGTTTCATCTGGGTACATATTCCAAAAACATAGAAGTAGAGGTGTTTAGAATGAGAGATATAGGGAAAATGACCAAGTGATGTGTAAAAATAGCTAAACAGAGGAGAAAAAAGGTTAGAGTTAGGTGCTGGAAAAGTTAGACGGGTTGGTATTTTCTAACACACTTTCAAGCATGACAGACACAATTTTTTTCATGCATGAAACAAAATATATTTCATGTACTCATAAGTATAATCAAAGTATATTTCATGTACTCAAAATTCTGAAGTAACAATCACCCTTGGAAATTAATTGTGGAAGTTGGCTTTATTTTAGTATTGGAATTAGCATGTTATTGTGACTTTTGTTTGTAATATTCTTTCCAAATTAGAACCATCCCGGTAAAGTATTTGGGGTGAATTGAATCATCACCATTAATTAATTTCACATAGAGTCTTTCAAAATACTGTTTTCTTGCCCAACCGTTTCTAGATAGTTGCTTACAGCCAGTGAGCATTGTCTGTATAGAATGTGTAATTTTTGTCCATTCATATGTCACCATCAGCTCCATCGGTTTTTATTGAGTCTAAATATGTTAGGTTAGTTTAAATACCAATTAATTACTGTAGTTTTAAAAACATTTCTTTCTAGGACTAGTAAGTGGTTCATTGGACTCATTAAATAAATTTCTATTAAAATTAAGGATTAGGATTAAAGATGAAGCCATGATTAAAACCCCAAATGAAAATCAGAATAGAGTAAGCATTTCTTGTAACTAAAAATCTTGCTAATTTTTACTAGCAGTTTCAGAATGGCATGATCACAAATGGAGAGACTTTTGGAAAAATAATAAAAGACTTTAAATCGGTAATGCTTATAGAAATATGCAGAATTCAAAAAATCTGATTGTAATCCTCTTCAGATGCATGAATTATATTACTTAATTCTGATAAATGACAGTTTTAAGAACACACATTACTTGGAAACAAACTGTTTAAGTAACAGTTTAAGAAACATTTTATAATGGATATTAATACTTCCTTATTTCTAGCACATTTAAACAAAGCTATTGATAATTTGAATTTGTGCCAGCTCTTATGTTTCTATGTGACTGACCATTTGCAATATAATTGTATGCATAGAATGCCACATAGTAGGGCAAGCCAATTTTAATGGTATATTCAGGATGGCTGTTGAATAATTTATTCTGGTTTTTAGTTTATTCTTGGTTCTGTGATGAATATCTTCATCACTTTAGAGGTAGTTTTTTCTGTCCCTTAAAAAATTATAGAGGAGTGTTTTTGAACTGTTAGCCAGTTTCTTGTATAAGTAGTCCTCTATTTATGACCATAATTTGGAGTGGAATTTCATTTGTTAAGAAGTGCAGTCCTTAATGGAATCATTAATGACCAGACCCAATTTTATACTATTTTTATATCATAATTGTAAAGTGAATCCAGCTTCCCCAATTAATGTTGCTTGTTGGGAAGGTTGCAAATTACGATCACAGGATGCTGCAGTTGGTCATAAATATGAACTGGTTGCCAAGCAACCTAATTGGAATCATGTGATCACCAGGTTGGTAATGCGAGTAGCAGGTCGTAAGTCACTTTTTCTGAGGCCATTGTAAGTTTGAATTCATTTCATTTAATTCAGTTCAAATTTGAATCCAATGAACAGTTGTAAGTTGAGGACTACCTGTAGCATTCATTCCAGTTATTTTTGAGATTGCATATAATGAATTCTCTTCTATTTTACTGTTCATTTTTTATTTATGTCCTAATTTTCTGTTCAGTTGAATACTTAAGCTAAAATTCAGTACAAATAGGAAATAAGTATAGGAAATATAGATTTAAAATCAATGCTAAAATCATTGAGTCTGATTACTTTCCAGGAGTAATGGTAAGCTATATTAGTCATGTCAAGAAAGGTGGCAAGGAGCAGTGGAATTGGGAGTCGCTAGAATATTATTGGTGCTTTATTCCGCAGCTATGGATAATTTCCCCTGCAGTTTAATAAATATAGAAGAGCATAGGCAACAACATGGAGCCCTATGGGATACCATTAGCCAGTAATCTAGATGGTAGTAGTCAGTAGTCTCACAGTACTGCCTTCTGTGCACAGTCCAGAGAAATACACTGAGACCATTGCAAGGCCCATTCTCATCAGATTGTTCAGAATGATGCCATGTTGAATAGTGTCAAAGCTTCCCACAACTCCAGGACAACTATTTACATTTGCATCATTTAGTTTCCAGCAAAGGTTGTTCATTAGGCTTCTAATCTATAGACCTGTTCTATAGAGTCTATAATTCTATAGATTAGACAAGTTCTTAATTTGATGATGTCAGAAGCCTTTCCCTTCCTGGCACATGAAGAGAACTAAACAAACAAACAAATAAATAAAAATAAATATAAGTAGTCCTTGACGTAATACTACAATAGGGACCTGAAAATTAATAATTAAGCAGTGTGGTTATTGTGATGTCTTGTGACTGCACCCAGTTTGATGAACTTTTCTCCCACAGTCAATAAATCAGTCGCCATGGTTGTTCAGTGAGACATGTGACCACGACTTGTGACCTTCTCTGCTGGCTTCCCCATTGACTTGGCTTGTTGGTAGTTAGCTGAGAATGTCGCGAATTGTGATTGCATGACAGTGGCACACTTGACTGTTGTAAATACACAATAGTTGCCAAGTGCTGGAGTCACAGTCACATGACTGCAGGGAGACTGCAATGGCCATGAATCGTTTTTTGCAGCACCATCATTCCTAAATGAATGCTCATAAATAGGAACTGTCATTAGCAAATGGCTTTGATAGGTGCCTACACTTACAGATTTAATTATCTCTCAAAAATTTGCTCAGGGGTTTCCTCCTGCTTTGCAGATCAGTGCAGGCTTACCCAGGCAAAATGCGGATGAGATGAATGTGCTCCTACTTTGCTGGTGCGAGGTTTGCCCAGGCAGAAGAGCAGCAAATTTGACAGCATTCCTGCCTTGCAAACAACAGGCTTAATCAACTTTAAGAATTTTTTTTTAATAAAAAGTTTTATTGTTTTTTTCCATTTTTTTATACAAAAGCTTAGGACACAACGTGGTGGTCAGAGTGTCAAATCATTCAAAAACAAAGTCATATACATATAGCTCAAATTAATTATAAACAATTTGCTCTCTATAAGGAATAATATTACTTATTAAAATTAAAATTAATACAATTTTAGATAAAGTTCAGTCAAACAAAGATCCTCAATCACCTTACAATTATGATAATCTATATCCTGTTTTAAGCTTTACTAATTGCAATTGCCTTATTCCAGTTACATTTCAGTAGACATATAGTTGGGATTTCAGGTATCCTTAATAATAGATCGTTCATTAAAACTATTTTTTTCCCTATCACAAGTGGCTCTTACTCTCTATTACAGCGTATTTTTCACGTTTAAAATAACAATATAAATCCAACAAATACAGTTCTATTTTTTAAAATATATTCTATCATTTCATCAATCCACATCTATAAAAAATCCTTTTAAGCCCTTTTGTAAAGTTTACACCTTCAAATACTTATCAAGTATAATGTCAAGAAATTCCCTGCCTTCATTCATTATTAAATCAAACAGAAATTCTCTCTCTATTTCAAAATAATTATCATATTTAAAATAATAGTGTAGTTCCAAAAAAACCCAAAACATATCTATTTTTAAACACGTGTTCTATCATTTCATCACTCTAGGTCTATAAAATCTTTTTAACCCCTAAACAAGTTTGCTCCCTAATAATTATCAACTATGATATCAATCAATTCTCATCCTTCTTTCATTATTAAATCAGACAAAATCTCTAAAGCCTTTTTAACCCATCAAATAATGTTGTATATCACATTTAAACCTGACTCTAGCTTTCTTTCTAGGCCAAGTTGGTTCCCATATTAAAACTTTTCGATTGTCAAACCTCAAACTTTGGTTACAAAAATTTCTAATCAATTCAAACTGAGCAAAACTTTCTTCTCTTCCTGGCAATATCATCTGAGTATTATATTGACTTTTATTCCATATTATAATTGTAAGTAAATTATCCGCTTTGTTGTGGTTCCCAGAAAGTTGTATCTGAGTATCAATCTTAGTTTTCAGTAATTGAACTGAATCAGTTACAGTTAGTTCTTGATCATCCAAGTTATCCATCCGTTGTAGGTAACGTTGTGTAGAATTAGTTGGCTCAGTGGTTACCACCTTTTCTCCCAGCGTAGATTCATCATTGGATTGTAAGCATAATGTCTCTGTCTCTTTAGATTGTGTATCTTGATGTATGAAAGCCTGTTCAGTATTGCTCTGTTCTTCCTCTAGTGTTCCTTGTTCCATGGCTTGATTCATTATTGGATGGTCAGTTGAAAGTGCCAAGGTGGCATCTTTAGATTGTCTCCTCGGTTTCCAATAAGTTTTGAAGTCTTCTGTCATTTCAATTTTTTTCCCAATATTAGATCATAGTCAAGATATGGAATATTTTCTTCCATTTTGGTGGTAGACTAGCCTGTTCCTTTATTAGAGACTATATTTAACAAAAGTCCATAAATATCCGCCTCCAAAGGTCTACTAGCCAGCTTCACCACCCAAATGTCAGATTATCTTTTCTCTTTTACTGTCATGTGAAGTCCAATCACAAAGATAGAATTGTAGTGTCACTTTGGCCACCAGATGTCCTCAGTGGACTGTAAGATCTTTTTTTCCACGTTGATAAAGTTAACAAAAAAAAAAAAGTTTTCACTCTTATTTTTTAAAATTTAACAAGAGTGGTATCTCCAACATTATAAAGTTGATAGGAACAAATTAGCAATGTCCCTTTTTTCTTCTTTTCCCCTAATTATCCCCACAAAGGAAGTCCAATGGTAGAAAAAACAACCAAAGAAGACAAAGAGGTTTTTTTCTTTTTTTCTTTTAAGCTCTTTTTCCGATATAGGCAGCCGCCGCTTTCTTAGCAAAGGGAAATAGTCAAAGCTCTTTACAGGAAAGATCAGGATAGCGAGAGAAAAGGGAGTCTCACACGGATTCACCACGGTGGGTCTTCATTCTTAGTTGTTCTTTTGACTTGCGGTTGGTGCAGCTGGGTGATCGGCCATTTTACTGGCCGATCTTCTTCTCCGTCGGTCCTCAGAGTTCTCTTGGCCAGCTGGGGGAACCACCGCTCCTCCGCAGCCGAGCACAGCCTCCTCGACGGTAGTCGCACCCTCCAGGGCGACTTTCGACCCGCATAAGGGTCTACCAGCGGAGGGAAACTAGCTGAAGAGGAGACGAGTCTCCTTGTGCAGCTAGAGGTGCTGCCTCCGGAACCGGAAGTTTTTCAACCCTTGTAAATTGGCAAGAGGGACATATTACCACATGTGGTGGGAGTGCTCAAAAGCCCGTGACTTTTGGAACAAGGTTAAAAAATGGCTGGAAGAAATACTAATGATAGAGGTAGAGCTAAAACCAGAACTCTTCCTACTAGGCATAACTACGCAGAAATACGACAAAGGGATACTTTACTTGATGCTACGTATTCTCATGGCTGCTAGATTGGCATATGCACAAAACTGGAGGAATAAAGAAATTCCAACAGAAGAAGAAATTTTATATAAAATCCTATCGTGTGCTGATACGGATAGGCTCACAATGGAAATGAAGGACAAGACAGAGTCAGATTACTTTGAAATCTGGGACAAATTCTATTGTTGGTGTGAATCAAGGAGAACTGTTCGGGTTTTAAGTTAGTGTTAAGATAGAAATATATAAAACTGTATGTTAGTATATAGAGAAACAAATTAGAGACTGTATTGTATAGAAAAATATGTATATATAGAGATTAAGAATTATATGTATGATGAGGAACAAATTGTTAGGAATATATACACTGGAATGTTAACGTTATGTCCATCTTTGTTTTAACTGTTTTATAAATAAAAAATTTTTTTAAAAAAAATTAAAAAAGAAAAAGAAATTTTTCAACCCCTCCCATTTATGTTGCTTATGGCCGGCTTGGAATTCATGACCCAGTGTGAGAAATCCTGGATTAGGCAGCAATTAGAAAATCTGTGTAAGTAATCTTTGAAAAAAAAGATAACATTTCTTTATCTTCGGTAATAGGCACAATTACTTATTACGTCAGTCATTGTTACTTAATTTGCCTTGGTTCAGAGACTGGGCTTTATACTAAACTTGTGTAAAGATCTATGAACTGAATCTCCTATCCAAATTTCTCCTTTTGAAGAAGTAGAAAGGATCACTGGAAAATTTGGTACAGCTAGTATAATTACTAGGCATTCTTAAAAGATTATGAAAAAAACCCTATATGGTCATAATCCTTAGTATATCCATCTCACAGAGCAGTGCTGTAATATAAAAAGAAATTCTATGAAAGCCTGTTAATACTAGAATTTGCAGAAGTTTTAAACATTTTTTTTAACATTTTGGCCTATCTAGAAACTCGGGGAAAATGTCAGAAAAGAACTTGATGAACTAGAAGAAATAAAAGCCTTCTATAGTTTCTAAATGTGAATAAATATCCAGAAGAATGCTGCTAACATAGAGAGCTGTAAAACTCATGAAATTCAAAGGAAGGATTTGCCGAGGGGCCCTAGATGGAGTTTCTGTTAAATTTTAAAACTTTGACAGGTCCCCTTGGTTTCTTCCACAAGTGAGGGATATACAGCATCCCAGCCCACGTATCAGCCTTCTCATTCAACAGAACAGCGACCTCAGAAAGAATCAGTTGACCAGATTCAGGCAAGTTATGAGACTTCATTATGCTTGGGAAGGGAAAGAGTTTTGCATATATAGATGAGTGCCCCTCTTAAAAAGTCTTGGAAGCCATTTATTTTAGGTATCAGGGTGGGGGGAGGTTGATATTTTTTTTAACTTGAATGTCTTTTTAAGTTTGTTTGATCCTGAAAATTTTAGAAGCATTTTTTTAAATTTAAATTTGGGTAGACTGTTCATCTAATCAAAAGGTGATCAGATATAATTGGTATTTGATTGACAAGGAAATGCCTCCGTAGGTTCACTGTACCTGCACAGGAAATTATTTTCTGTAATCTTTTCACGTTCAAAGTTAATTCAGAGTATGTAAGAGGGATTTTATACTTTTCTTAGGCACACTTCATCAGCAACAACCTATTTCATAATTAAAAATGGTATTGATGTCTTGCTTGCTAATGTTAAGTTGAATTTTATCTGTCAGGCTTCAATAACCTTAAGTACAGATCAGACACCAACATCATCGCCACTTCCAGCTGCATCCCAGCCTCAGGTATTTCAGGCTGCCTCTAGCAAACCCTTGCATAGCAGCGGAATCAATGTTAATGCAGCTCCATTCCAGTCCATGCAAACGGTAAGCATTAAATATATTAAAAATGTAGATAAAAAGTTTGGATGTCAGTGTCATGATAATGGTCAATTTTTCTCTAAATACCATTAGTAGTTTATTTTATTTTATTTTATTTTATTTGTATCCCACTTTTGTTGTTTTATAAATGACTCAAGATGATGAACATATCCAACACACCTTCCTGTTTTCCCCACAACAACAATCCTGTGAGGTGAGTTGGGCTGAGAGAGAGTGACAGCCCAAGGTCACCCAGCTGGCTTTCATGGCTAAGGCGGGACTAGAATTCATATCTGGTGCCTTTCCAGCCTGGTATCTTAACCACTAGACTAAACTATGTTTTTGAAATGTTTATGGAATATCCCTTGAATCTTTAGTTTAAAAATTCAACTGATTTTTACTTACTTTCCATCTAGGTATTTAACATGAATGCACCTGTCCCTCCTGTCAGTGAGCCAGAAACTCTAAAGCAACAAAATCAGTACCAGACCGGTTACAGCCCGACATTCTCCAATCAGCCCCATCAAGTAGAACAATCAGAACTTCAGCAAGAACAGCAGCTTCAGACAGGTAAAACTGTGAAAAACTGAATGCTTTACTCTCAAAAATGTTTTAAAGAGAAATAGCCTAAATAATTCTTTACTGATGGAGTTTATATAACATGTTGTGTGTATTGTGAAAAAAGCAGTTCTGCAATATTTGTATGGTTTTACAAAGGGGGAAATACTGTGGGATAAATATCAATGTTGATGCTTTTATACACCAAATTGAACAAAACCCATATCCTAGCTGGTAAAAGGGACCCCCTCCCCCCAGAAAACTTTAGGAAACTAAATTGATGAAGTTATAGAGTGAATTCTTTAAATCATGTGAAATGTAGGGACTATTCTACATGTTTAGGGAATTCAGACTGCCATGTTGGATTTAATTCTGCAAACAATCTTTCTTTAGATAGGTAAACATTTACTGTCCTACTTGGTGGCTCTTAAGCAGAGTACATTGGTGAGTTAGCTTGATATTATTTGAGTCTTTAGGAAACTGGAGTATACATTCAAACTTCTTGTACTGTCTTGGTTTTTTTCATTTTAGTGGTTGGCACTTACCATGGTTCCCCGGACCAGTCGCATCAAGTGGCAGGTAACCACCAGCAGCCTCCACAACAGAATACTGGGTTCCCACGTAACGGTCAGCCTTATTATAACAGCCGGGGAGTGTCTCGTGGTGGATCACGCGGCACTCGAGGCTTAATGAATGGATACAGGGGACCAGCCAATGGGTTTAGAGGTAAAAACTTAAAAACCTTTTAAGATTAATTCTGAATGTTTTTCAGAAATGCAGAATATCAAAAAGCTTAAGCATTAGAATAGCATGCTTTAATTTTTTAATAACAAAAAAGTGCAGCAATACATAAACTTTGTAGTAGTTGTTCTAGTGTAATATTAGTGAATAAAGAACAAAGCAGATCACACAAGGACAAAGTATGAGAAGGAACTAATTAGAAGTGATTTGATAAAAGTTTAGTATAATGTACAGTATATGAAACTGAAACTGACTTTCCATCTGTAACCTGCTAAATGGCTGCATCTTTTTCAGGGCTTATTCCTTGGCTTACAAAAGCAAGTCTTTCACTTATACAAACTATGGCTCTTGGTGGTATTCTTTATTTTGGTGCCTGAATTTATTAATGCACTTAAAATAATTTATAATAAATCTTGCATATAATGGGAAATCTTGAAGACACTGAATGGTGCACAGGAGCCCAGGTGCAGTTTAAACACTTATCTGGTAATTTTATGTTAAAAGGTTAAGTATGGTATAGATAGAAGAAGAATTTATTTTCAACCTAATAATTGAATTGTGAAATTCTAGTGTGTTCTGTTTGTAAGGAAATTTTCCATGATCATATTTATATAATTTACAAGCAGGAATCAACATACTCATTCCTCCTTCCTTGTAGTGTTTTCTCAGAGGGTTCAATAAAATAAGGATTGTTCTTTGCGCACAGGATGCTATTTCTGGATATATCATAAATAAATTCATGTATATTTCATTAGATAATCCCATCTAGTAATCGTCTTACCTGATTTTTAGGAGGATATGATGGATACCGTCCTTCATTTACTAACACTCCAAATAGTGGTTACACCCAGGCACAGTTTAATGCTCCAAGAGACTATCCCAACTACCAGCGGGTAAGTGTACTTTATAAATGATCTTTTGAATGTAGACTGTATAGGAGATAAAATGTGTTTTATAACTACTTGTGAAGATATATTGGATCTAAAATTAATTCAGTAAAAATTAATTTTGGATCACATTTTAACTTTTAAAGTTGAAAGTACTCTGGGATTCTTACGTTTACTCTGTTTTGAACAAGGTAAACCTCATTTCATCCTTGAGCTACACATATTCTCCTTTATTGTTACCCTGTTTAGATTATAGATGTACATTATTTCCTGTAAAAAGACTTTCATAGCCAACTGCTTATTCAAAAAACAAAATCATCCAAAATAAATGAATTCTTGGCTGGCTTTTTAAATACATTGAAATATCAGAGTATGTAAATATGTATTTTAATCTCCTTCATTCCCAATTGCTTGACAAATATCTTTTGACTATACAGAATGTTAATGGCAATTAGCAAAGATAAAAGGGTCATGAAATGAAATGCAATAGTCACGAAGCCTTTCTAGGTCTTTGAAATTTTTTGTTGTTGTTTCATTTTTGCCCTTGCTTAAACAATTTCTTCTAAAACACTGGAATATTGAATTTTAGTTTTTTTACTACTGACTGATCTTTTTATTTCAGGATGGATATCAACAGAATTTCAAACGTGGCTCTGGACAAAGTGGCCCCCGGGGAGCCCCTCGAGGTAATGTTAATAATTGAATTGTGATTTGAATATTTATAGAGATTCTGGAGTTGAATATTTTCAGGTATTTCAATTCAAGTTTCTTTAATAGTTGCAGTTTATAATTATGGTTGTTAATTTATTTTTCCAACTGTATATTCCCCTTTCATGCTATTATTTGATCAGAATTGTTGTTTCACAGTTGCCATTAGTGTGGAAATCAGTAAATTTTTTGTTAGGTGACTGACTATTCTGGAAAAAAAAAGTTCCAATCCTCTCTCTGGGCAATAATTTGCATTTTGTTGCTGGACTACACAGAACCACAAACAAGCCAATTAGAATTGTATACCATGTTATTGACTGTAATATTTTATCATTCCATTCAAATATTATCTGAAAAGAAGTTTAGGGTAGGATAGTATCTATGGAGTAAGGAACTTGTAGGACATGTTTAAGGTTTTGGTATGAAATCATGCATTATTTCTGCACATTCAGGGGCATTGCTTCTGTACATCTGAAGTCTATTTCTTTGTTGAGAAGGCAAATAGTGGCTAATATTTTCAAGCATTAAATAAATGTGAGAGTTTATGTAGAAATAAATGTTCAGCCTGAAAATCAAATCTCAGTCCCCAAATAAATTATTATTTTTATTTTCTAGGTCGTGGAGGGCCCCCAAGACCCAACAGGGGAATGCCTCAAATGAATGCTCAGCAAGTGAATTAATCTAATACTCAAGATTACTTTTAAAACGCCAAAAACACTGGCCAGTGTACTATATACATGTTACCAGAAGAGTTATCTCTGTTTTCCTTTATAGGAAGTTCATAGTAAAGGGATTATTTTCATTGCCCATAAAGACAAGACTACAGTTTTCAGCTTTATATTACCCGGATATGGAAAGAAATGCCGTTTTGCGCTGCATGTTCTGTCCTAAGCGTCACCTTGAGCCTTGCACATGAGATCCAGACCCTTGCTTTGATTTAAAACAAAAATGGCAGTTTCAGAGTAAAGAAAATGTCTATAGTTAATTGAACAGGCAGAAATAATCCAACTGACTTCATTGATGTCATATAGTTCTGCAGCAAATTTGGATAAGAATCTGTAAACCCATAAACGTTTTACTCAGACAGTTGATATATTTAAACTTTTACATTAAAAAGATGGAGGAAGTGAAGTGTGGCTTAATAGAACAACAACTACATTTCAGCTTTTTCTGTTTCATTGAAGCGCCTGAATATTTACATGCATAATAAAGAGCCCTGACTAGATATTAAACTGGTGAACAGCTTAGGCACACCCTTAGCTACAGCACTTTTTTATTAGTCTGACTGGCTGTGGTAAAGGGATGCATTAATTGTTTTGTGTATCTGTTATAATTGTGTAAACCCCAAATTAAGCTTTGATTGGCACTTTAAAATTTTGTGTAAGAAATAGAAGATATAATCTGGACAGCCACTTGTGTTTTCAAATGTGAAGTATTGAAAGAGATCTCTCCTGAACACATTTCCTGGATAGCAATGCTGTTTGTAAGGATTGGTATTCCTTATCATTCCTTATGATTTGCACATTGTCTGTCATTAATACTTAATCTTGCTGTATTACCACCTTAATAACTGATGCTGGTACTGATGGAAATTAATGGGTATGCATACTACATGTCACATGTCTTTTTCCCCCTGCAGCTTAAAGGTTTTGAGAAATCTCAAATCCTTGCTGGTGCCCTTTAAATTGCTCTCTTTTGAAAAGCACCAGTAAATGTTTTGATCCATTTCCCCTTTTAAGGGAAATTACAGCCAGCAGTTCCAAGTGAGACAAATAAACATGTTTATATTAAAAAAAAACCTGTATTCCTTAACCTATCTTCAATGACTGATGAAAGCTCCACAAGCACATTCTTTGAACAGTTTTTTTTTCATTCTCAACACTTAAAGATGATCCAGAAGTTTGTAAGATATTTATCCAGTAAGGACATGCATTTATCTGACTTGTTACAATCATCAGGCTCAATGTTGTCAATTTATCTATATGGGTGTTGTAAAAATTTTGAACCAGCAGTAAGAATTGCATGCATGGTACTTAATGCATCTTTTGAAACCTATACAAGAATTCATGAATTAGTTCAGAGCGTAGTTACAAGAGTCTGCTTCTGTGAACAGAGCCAACCTGTATAAAAGTACAGATTAATTAATCACATTGGGATTATAGAATTACTGGGTTTTTTTTTAAGTTAGCAAGTACTTTCTTTGTGTTTAGTTGACAACTTTTCCTGATACTATATATGGTAACAAAAAATAGACTCCTCAGTTACGATAATTATGTTAATTCTTTGAGAATATTCTATATTATTAGTATTTGTAGGTACTATTAATGAGAAAAATATTAATGGAAAATAATTTCAAATATAGTATCAGAAGCCAAAGATAATTTGGAAACCAAACAAGCAGATCATGTATTCTATGTGATGCATTTTTTTTTAAAAAAAAATCAAGATTACTCAATGTGATTTAAACAAGCTGCTGTGCATACAAATTTGTCAATAACTATAAGCAACTCTCTTGCTAGCTTTAGATTGGGAAATGAGGCATATAACAAAATTAATTTTATTCTTGGAACATTACTTTCAAGGCAGATTTAAAGCCAGAAATATCCTTCCTTAAACTAAAACAAAAAGTATTTAGAATTGCAGGATCTTTTAATGGCACAGAACGATGTCAGAATCAAGTAATTCATAAACAGAATTGAGATGACTTTTTAAAGGATTAGTTTATCTGTTGACTTTCATGACAAGTTAGCAATATTGAATATAGTGTTTGAATTTAAACAAACTAAATATAATTTTTAAAAAACTAGAATTAATTCCCTAAATATTAGAAGATACATTGTGTTCTCCAGATTAACTCAGCACAGTCAATACGTTATGAGCATGAGTCTTGCTTGGTTTTGTTCTCAGTCTAGCTGTAGTCTACTTTATGTTCCTCAGTTATTAGGTAATAAATTGAAATATAGAAATAGTCATTCCACTGTTACAACTTGGAGAAAATCCAAATATTAAATAAAACTGCCCTGTTTCTGGTGGAAAAGCTATAGGTCCAAGCCATTTATGGGCAGTTCAGAAGATTTGCCAAGGATAGGTTTCATGATCTTTATCTCCTGTTTTCATCAGTGACAAAGAAAAAAGCCTTATTTTGTGTCAGTTATTTATCTTCATCCAGGAATTTGCAGAGTTCCATCTTAGCTTGTAACAATCTGAACCTTCCATTCATGGAAAATGCCTCGATTAGTCCCTGCAGCTTTCTTGGTAAGGTTTTTCAGAAATGGTTTGTCGTTACTTTCTTCTTAGGGCTGAGAAAAAGTAATTGGCCCAAGGCACCCAGCTGGCTATGTGCCCAAAGCAGGACAGAAACTCACCTCCCAGTTTTTAGCCTGATGCCTTAACCACTACATCAAACTGGCTCTCAAAATTTGTATTACAAGGAGGCAAATAGTGCAGTTTCTGGTCTTACGTTGTACAGCAAGGGGATTATGGGGGGTTATGTTTGTAAGTGTGTGACTAGTGTGTATTGCTCATTCACCTACCTGCCATTGCTTGTCTCCTATAGTGGAGGGGAGGTAGTGGTGAGGAGAAAGAAGTAGCAAGAAAAGAACTGCCTCTCCACTGTGCTTCATACTGCTACTCTTCCCTTTTCTTTGGCTTTCTTACCAGTAGTGCCACCTTCACCGTCATCTACCATCTATCTATTTTTTTCTCATTTTCATTGGGTGTCCTGATGCTGCCACTGGATTCTCCAATTATAATTTACATGTTAGTAAACTGGTATGGGGGAAAAAAAACCTGAATGTATGTTTTGAATGTAGCTAAGCTGCTTCAATAATTTTCTCCAACCTGGTCTCAAGTGGAAATGAAAGATGTAGGACATTACAAGATGTTGCTTCAAATCCATTTTGGCTGACCAGTTGGAAACATTGCCATTGGGCCAAGTTCTAATTTCCTTCTACACTAATGATAAGATTCATATAAATTAGAAGTTGCCTGTTTGTACAAAATTTCACAAGAGATCAACAGAGGCTAAATTCATGTGTAAGTTTGAAGTCTCATCTAGTAATGCATGTAACTTAACCAGATGGCAATCAGTGGAGGAAAGCCTATCGGAACATAATTTTTTAATTGGGTAGCAAAGTGTTTTTGTATTACTTTTTCACTCCTTTATATAATAATTCAAATATCTGTGTTCAGTATTATCAGTTTATTATCCTTTTAGTCTTTTTCATAAGTAAGCCAAACAGCACATTTTGAAATTGTGGGCTTTTACTGTATCTGAATAGTGTAAGTCAAGCATACCATTATAGACATTGAAGCTAATGTATTTGAATGTTAGAGGTTGTTAGAAAAATGAATTTAAAACATGTTAAATCTTCAATATATACATCAAGTATGAATAGGACAAATTTGGCTTGATGTGAAATTACATCAAATATATGAGTTTTTTCACTTCAAACTGTAAGATGTTTGAGTTGATGCCCAATGGGTTGCATCTGAGTGTGCATTTTAAAAAATAGTGCTGATATTGTTCTACTGAAGTATTAATGGTGGCAAATAGCCTTCAGACACACTGATAACTTGACAGCTGAATTTTTATAAAACTGCTTCCAATAATTCAATTGTTGGTTCGCATTTGTTTTTCTTATATAATTTATAGTTATACATAAATAACTATAACTATTTTCCTTGTTCTAAACCAGGGGTGTCAAACTGCCGGCCCGCAGGTCGGATGTGTCATGCCGAAAGAGCGGCCACCCCAGCTCTGGCAGTGGGGAAAAATTCACGATACAGCGTGACACGTCATGTGACGTTGCGAGTTTGACACCCCTGCTCTAAACATTGCTTTTTCAGTTTTCACATAACATACCTGGTTTAGAACTGTTAAACTCATGTATTAACTACATTTAAAATATGAAAGTCTTTTTAATTATGTGAGAATGTAGTGTTCAAAACCAAATTCATAATACAGACCTATGCAAATATTGTAAGTTTTAAAACTTACAAATTTGAAATTGGTGATTGAGGTAGATATTACAGTCCAAAACTGGAATTAGTGCCTATATAGTTCTTTTGATTGCAGATCTAAATGGAAAACAATTGCCTTTTATTATTCCAGTGAAATGTGACATTTTTTCTATTTTTTATTGCAAAATGTGATTTTTTTTTCCAAATTTGAGTAACATTAAGATCATTATGTTTTATTTTTATATGGACATCACTAGCACTGGTAATTTTACATTAGGATGTTGTCCAAATACATTCTGTTTAGCATGTGTAATTTAGCGTCCAAGGTAACAGAATGAATTGTGGCTGGCTTTAAATATGGTATAAAAATTTATATGTATAAAATCAAACATGCAGATTTCTACCTGCTTAACATAGTTAAACTGGGTTGCAATTATGTGTACATTTTAACTGCAGAAATCTGGACTGTGAGTATGCTTTTAAATAACAAATGTAAAATGGGCATCTTTTAAAAATGATGCTGAGATAAAATTGCACAACATGAAGATTTTAAACTGCATCTGAAAAGGAATGGTTTTAACTATCTTTATAATTGTTTTAAGGGATTTTTATCAAGCAATAGCAACTGTCTTGAATATTACAAAATGCAGTTAATGCAGTGAACTCAGAAATTGAAGGACATTTAGCCTAAATGGACCACAATAATTTTGCAGGTGAAAGAGATTGATAAAGGGTGTGAATTAACTGCTTCTCCTACAGTTTTGGATCAGCATCAGATTTTCTCCAGATGGCTTAAAAGTAGATATACATTTTTTTATTGTTTCAGGGTATTTCTATCTGAAGAGAGAAGCCATGTTGTCTCCTGAGAAGTGGTCAATTTACACCTTACATGAGGAAGATGCTTTGGATTCACTGTGTTCAAATACGTTAACACTTATAGCAATGCCTTAATTAGTACCTTAGAGTAAAATTTACTCTCATATCGATATAATCTGACTTTTGGAAAAAATCAGGCCATTATTGCTAAATTTTGGCAAAATACTGGAAACTCAATATGATTTGTTTGCTCATTTATGGATTGATCTCTCTGCCTCCTCAAATCTGAGAATCTTATCCACGTATCACGTATTACACACTTGTAACATTGATAATTACTGTGTTTCTTAATGTGTTTTGATGTTAATTGTTGGC